GGACTCTCATATGAACATTTGAAAATTGCCCTGTTCTGACTTTTTTCTAGTTCCCTGTCTAGAACTTGTTATGCTAATTTCTCTTGCCTTTACTTGTCCTTCACATCTTCTATTAAGGATTCAACAATTTTCTTTTCCACCTAGAGATAAGAGTTATGCAATTTGGGAGTGTTTTAGATAGACCCACTGAAGGGGTACTGCAATTGGTTCACCCTGCGTCCCTGTTCAGCATGAAAGAAGCCAGAGCGGTCGGCATCCCTATTCCCTATTGGCAATTTGGGTAACCCCTTCAGGGGATGGCGTGATAAGAATAGGAGGTAGGAACCGGCTAGGCAGTTAGGACAAAAAAGACCCCAAAGAAATGTAGCCAGTTTCTTGGCTAAAAGTCAAAATGTCCTTGGGCCTCCTAGCAACATACTCTGTTCGCCAAAAATGACGAACTTATTTGGGGGCTTTTATCTAATCCTTAAAAGATTTTAGGGTTACCTCTTCAGAGGGGGGGGATGTTGGAGGGGAGGGAGTGGGCATGGATTTAATCAAAACACCTTATATGCATTTATGAAATTCTCAAAGTTTTTGTGAAATTAAAAAAAAAATTTGTAGAGGAAAAAAAAAAGAAAAAGAAACAGTGGCTAATATTTCTCAGCTTTTTACTTTATGTTGACAATGTGATCCATTTTGACTTTTGCATTACACAATATTTTTATGGGTTTCATTTGTAAAATTGGACAGAACCGAATCACTTGTAAAACACTATCTCATTCCAACGGAATGGAATGTTACACTCATTTTGAGTAGTTGTCCCGGAGATGCCAAAAAGTGGAATTCAGGTTCCTGATTTTCTACTTTGGGAACTTTACCACTTTGTTCATTCAGTAGTTTCACTGTGTGTATAAGCATTTGCCTGGGTACTGTGATAAATAGATTGAGTCTCTACATGTGTTCAGGGGCTAATGGAGGAAATGGACAAGTAACGTGGAAATCACTGCATGGTGTGAGGAGAGGACAGGAGGAGGCAGGCAGTGAAGGCTGAAGAAGCATGAGCCAGGTGGCCCAGGGGAGAGGACAAGCATTTCAGCAGAGCTGGAAGGCAACATGTGGGTGTTAAGAATGGCCAGATGGGAAACTGGGGAAGCAAGCAGGGCCTTCAGAGTCCTGCATATTAGCTTAAGAAATGCTGAGAGACATGGGGGCTGGAGAGATGGCTCAGCAGTTAAGAGTACTGGCTGCTTTTGCAGAGTACCTAGTTCGATTCCCAGCACCCATATGGCAGCTAACTGATCCAGACTCTAACCCTCTTCTGGTTTCTGCTCCATAGGCACTGCACGACACGGGTACACTTAGGTACATGCTGGTATAACACGCATACGCTTAAAGTGAAAAAAAAAAAGTAAATGAGTGAATGAATGAATGAATAAATAAATAAATAAATATTTTAAAAAGAAAAGATGAGCTACGAAAGAAGGCTCAAAGACCCAGGTTTGGATTTTAGAAAGAAGCAAAATTTTCCATGTAGAGAATGGCTTGGAAAGTTCCAATATTTATAAGATTTATCTCTATAAGGTAAATAAAATAGGAGCTGTGGAGATTGCTCAGTGGGTAGAGTTCTTCCTGCACAATCATAAGGACCTGCGTTTATCTATCCAGCATACATGTAGAAGCTGGGCACACTGTTCATCTGTAACCCCAGGGCTGGGGGGTTGGCCAAGACGGGCAGATCCCAGGGGCCTGCTAGACAGAACAGCCAGCTTCCTGTTCAGTGAGAGAGTCTGTCTCCAAAAGTAAGTTGGAGAGAGGTAGAAGATACCTGACTTTGACCTTTGGCCTCTGCAGGTGCACACAATGGCAAGTGCACCCCCTACGTGTACACGCACACACACACACACACACACACACACACACACACACAGAACAAAATGGGATCCTTGACTTCAAAGAGATAAACCTATCAATAGGGAAAGAGCAGCAGACAGTGCACTGAAGTAAAGGCAGTGGTAGAGTCAGAGGTCAAGCAATTAAATGCTTTCAGGTTAAAACCCAAAAGGTGATTGTCAAGTTGTTTGGGGCATAAGAACAAATCTCATCTCAAGATTTCCACTTCTAGATACATGATTTGAGATTTTTGTTGTCTTTATAGGTGATAAACAAGGGACTTTTTTTCCTTGGATCTTTCATAGCCCTCGGAGGTGCATATCTACTTGTGCACCACATGTCCTGGAAACCTCTGGAATACTTGCGAAGACCAGCATGGAACTGGAATCACCGGCTTCTGGACTAGGAGCATGGGCCTGGTTCCTTGCACGTTGCACTGAGTCACTGGAACAGATTCTCTGTTTCACTAAACGGTGATAGAAAGGCCCTAGGTAGCAAATATTTGATTTCTTGGTAACCAAAATCAATGATGAAAAGCACATTTCCACCACCAACATATGTAATTCACTGCTGGAAAATAATTGTCAGCGTATAATTCAGTTCAGTAGACTTTATGTATTTGTTTGCAATTCTGCGAGGAAGAAACATGCAATTTTGGGTTGCAACATGTGGCTTTCCTGCCACCTTTGCATGCTTGGGTTGGGTCATTCTAAATTTAAAAAGGCAGTAACCAAGCTCTCTTTCACTTCTCAGAAATTAAGGCCCCAAAGGCCTCTGGGAAGACACATTAACACAATAATACCTTTTATTTTTTTAAGTGCTTGTAATAGGATGGAAACACACAGGATTGAAAACCACAGCTTGCTAAACACTATTTTTCCTTCATCACATGGTTGGAGCCTGGTTAACCACAGGACTCAGAGCCACTTGATAAAACCAGATGTGTCCTTGAGAGCTGGGGGAGGGCCAAAGCTCCAGTTTGAATATGTTTGATTTCTGAGTCTCTGGATACCAGAATTATGATCTTATGAAGATAAGAAAAAGGTTATTAATGCCATCTTAGTGAATGAAATATAGAAAGGACTTTTATTAATGAATATTTATATATACAAGTATAAAGGAAACAGGGATATCATTTTATAGAAATATGAAACTATACTGTATTCCATTTCACACACCAAGAAGTAGTTTTTTTGAACTTTATACTGCAGTGAACTTCATTCTCTAAAGTGCAGTTAGTGGAAACATTTCCTTCGTTCCTTCCTTCTTTGGTAGGCTCACTGGGGCATTTAGAGATTACTCAAATACTGTAATTAATGAGACAATACTGACTTGGAAGTAAAAAATTAGTTCATAAAAATGAAGCAATTTGGCGTTTTCTATACTGTCAGAGACATCCTTCAGTCTTAATAATTCATGTTTGGTGTGCTGGTTTGGAATACCCTGGTTTATACAACAGCTTCAATGAAGAAGGAAAATTTTAGATGTGCCAAGACACTTGGATTTGAGGAGCAATTTATGGGCAGTCACCTTTGTAAACTCTGTCCTGTTTTTAGGCAAGCAGGGGGTGGTGGGGGGGGCTTTTCCTTGTATCAATTCTCAGTCACCTCCTGCTCAAAATAATCTGTGTGCAAAATAGGACTTATTCGAGGGTAGCATATTCTATTCTCCAGGTATAAACAATGAGCCCCGGGAAAATGGTCTGTTCTCCAAGGGCTTACTGATAAGCAATGAACATTAAATAATAAATTGTATGGGTCCAGTGAGATGGCTCAGCAGGTAAATGTGCTTGCCATCAAGTCTGCCAACCTGTTTGATTCCAGGGACCCATGGTGGAAGGAAAGAACCGACTCCTGCAAGTTGTCCTTTAGCCTCCATATGCACACTCACACACACCTCTCTCTCTCTCCCTCTCTCTCTCTAATAAATAAATGTAATAAAAATTCAAATAATACATGTTATAAATGTACTAAACCACTTATTTTCATCCCTCTTCAAATGTAATGTCTGTTTGCTGGGAACTCCGAAGTGCAGAACCTCTAACAAAATGGTGGTCAATGATTGAAAGGAAAAGAAAATCATACTGAGCTCATGTTTGAAATGAAACAGAGACATTACTCTGCCCTCAACACCCTCTTCTCCACACATGCTCTCCACTATCCTATCTTTAACCATCCGCGTGATCAGTGTGAAGTCTCCTCGTTGCTATGATGCAGTATCTTCTGGAAATTTCTCAGTGATTCTGAAGCCCTCTTAGTCATATGACACATAGGACAACAGTCTTATTTTCAGATAAAAGTAGGGGATTGATTTATTATCTTTAATAAACTTAATTGGTTAAACACACAACATGACACAGGACTCAACACAGCAGCACACTCAAGACGTCCTATCTATTTATTGCACATGTGTGTAGGACAGTTATTTTTACAGTGAAATATCTTTGAGAAAAAAGTATATTATGTGCTTTGGCAAATACATTCATTAAAAAATATATTTGAAATGCTAGTTTCTAACATATTAGATGATGGTGCCAGTTGCCCATCTTGTGCCTCTAGCGTTTTCTCATGTTTAAAAGCACCCATTGAATTAAGAAGTCTTTGTCTTCCTCAGTCACTTCATGAGGGCAGATTTCCTGCTGAGCCACAGAGGTTCTGTTGATAATATACTAAGTGGATTTCCAGAACAATCCAGACAACAGAAGTCCAAATGGGGCATCTAATCCAAGGCTCCATCTTCAATTCCTATAAAGGACGAACTTGGATGACGTCGACCTTGGATACATTGGTTCTGTCACTGTCATCGGCCGACAGGGACTCATCACTGGTGATAATAAAAATGATGGAGGAAGAATTGAAAGTCACTTTCTTCTTTGGCCTGTCCCCATCCTTCTGTGACATCACAATGGGCCTGATCTGCATCTCACTTTCAGCTGGTGGTAGGTTTTTAGCCGGCCGCTGGCATCTCAACAGCCGAAAACACAGGAGTTGCAGAAGGGACCTTCGAAACTGGGCAGAGAAAAAGATAACAATGAATTGATTATTAACTAAACGTCTGGTTCTTAATCTGGATTAAAGGTCAAGAAAATTAGTTGAAAGTAATTTGGGTTTTCCTTTTCATCTCGTGTGTGTGTATGTGTGTGTGTGTGTGTGTGTGCAGGTGTGTGTGAATGTATGAAAGTGTATATGTGTGTGTGATGGTATGTGTGCAGGTGCATGTGAATGTATGAAAGTGTATATGTGTGTGTGATGGTATGTGTGCAGGTGCATGTGTGTACAGAGGCCAGAGGTCAACCACAGGTGCTGTTCTTATGGTATCAACCATCTTGTCTTTTAAGACCGAGACATGGGGCCTGGTCAGTGAGCTCCAGGGATCCACCTATCTCCAGCTTCCCAGAGCTGGGATAACATGCACGCCACCACACCCAGCTTTTTACATGGGTGCTGGAGACTAAATTCAGGCCCTCATGCTTGGACAGCAGGGACTGTACCAACTGAACCATCTCTCAACCCCTTGCTTTTTCTTTATAACTGATGTAGGTGGATTTACACTGTAATGTTCAGTTCTACGTAGGCCCTCCCTTGAGTTTTAGGTCTTTCTTATAAATCTTATTAACTAGATACATAAGAAAATTTTAATCCTTTATAATCTCTATGACTTTGGTATGCATATATCTTCTCCCAGGGCAGCTTTGCCTGTGAGTTTAAAGGATTATGAACATGAGCTCAGCTCATAAATACACAGTGAGCACTTCTTGAGTAACAGCCACTGTGCTGTGCTCAAGAGATACTGGCCACAGTGGTGTTCCCAGCCTGCTGGACTCACTAATGTTCTTAACTGAGTGAAGAGTGTTTTATCCTATTGAGATCATTAACCATTTAGGTGGAAAATACTCTAGTGGGGAGTACCAGGTTCATGTGTGTGTGGTTCTCAGTGTCCTAGGCACCACACTAAACTGCGTCTCTCAGGCCCTCTCAGGGCCTTTCTATAAGAACCCCAGTGGCCAAGGTCTGATGAAAGGAGCATCACAATGTGCAGGGGACATAGATTCTGTTTTGATAGCACAGAAAACGTCCTATCTCCACCAAATGACCTAGATCTAGACCTAGTCCTCGGGAGACTGTAAGCACTCCTTCCTTGCCAATCTCCTGAAATACTGGGGCTGCTTGTTAATTATTAAGTCTACCATGACAAACAGAACATAAAAACACGAAGCTAACTTGTTAGTCATTTAAACAATTAAATTTGTTTTTATTTTGTGTGTATGAGTATTTTGCCTGCATACATGTAAGTGCACCCATGCTATGCAATGCCCACAGAGGCCAGAAGTCCTCTTCTTCTGTCTGATCCCCTGGAACTGGAGTTATGGGTGGTTGTCATGCCCCACGAGGGTACTGGGAACCTGATCCAGGTCCTCTGCAAGAGTGGCAAGTGCTCTTAACCACTCAGCCATCTCTCCAGCCTACTACTTTTGAAAAAGATTTTTAAATTTTATGTATGTATGTATGTATGTATGTATGTATTTATGTGTGTGTGTGTGTGTTTGTCATGCCCCACAAGGGTACTGGGAACCTAATCCAGGTCCTCTGCAAGAGTGGCAAGTGCTCTTAACCACTCAGCCATCTCTCCAGCCTACTACTTTTGAAAAAGATTTTTAAATTTTATGTATGTATGTATGTATGTATGTATGTATGTATGTATGTATGTGTGTGTGTGTGTATGTGTATGTGCTGTGTGCACATTTGTACGGAGAACTGTAGAGGCCAGAAGAGAGGTTAAATCCCCTCGGGATGGAGTTACGGCAGCTGTGAGCCTCCTGATGTGGGTGCTAGGAATTGAACTCTGGTCCTCTGGAAGAGCTGCAAGCACTCTTAACTGCTGAACCATCTCTCTTTTACAAACTTCTTGAGTTTTTTAATTATCGACACTGTTCTAAATTGTTGCACCACATAAAATCTATTTTCTACTAGTTCCCCAGGTAGAAAAAGGCACTTAATTCCAGAGCTTACCTTTCTGATCATGAAGATATAGATAACCGTATTGTACACAGTGGTTGATTTAGCGAAGAGATAAGAAACAATAGACACTAGTGGAGAGACCAGGTATCCATAGCCATTAACCAACAAGAACCGGACCACTATATAAGGCATCCAGCAAGTCACGAAGACAAAGACCATCAAAAAGCACATTTTGGCCACTTTCTTTTCATATCTTAAAATCTTGATCACTTGAATTGTCTGAAGATCTTCAACACAGCGAAGCTGGAGAAAGAAGGAAGGAAAGGGCTGAAAAATGGTTCCTTTTCCTTGACTGCTTTTTGGGGATCTGATAAGCAGTTACCATCACCATAACTGGCCCTGCGTTTGTGGAAAAAGAAATGGAGCTGGACCATGGAAAGCTGACTTCTAATCCAAAGCCCCACCTTAATCCCTGTGGGCCTCAGTCCCCTCAACTGAAACCTACCGTGGGGGGGTGCACACCTCCCACGGCACATGTACAAAGGTCAAGGACAACCTGAAGCATGGGTCTTCACCTTCACCTTGCTTGAGACAGCCCCTCTTAGTTGTTTGCCACTGTCTATGCCTGGCTATCTGGCCTGCAGTCTTCCAGGGCTTCTCCCGTCCCTCCCTTCCATCCTGCTGTGGGAGTGCTGGGATTAGGCACCCACCACTATGCTGTACCCAGCTTTGCCGAGGTTCTGTGGATTCCAACTCAAGTCATCAGGCATGCATAGCAAGCATTATCCACTGATCCATCTCCCCAGTCCATTTTAATATTTTAATATTAACATTTCTGATTTACTAAATAAGGATGAAATAAATTATTTTGCCCAGATCTTCAGTTTCCTAAAAGACAGCCTGAAAGGGTCAGTGCAGAACAATCTCTTCAAGATCCAGAAAACTGTTTTGTCTGGAGCGCTGATTAACGAATTCTCCAGCCAGGAAACAAGCTCATGCCATGCCAGGCATCTGCAGAGAGAAGCCCGCAGCGGTCTGGATAAGAACCTCATCCCAAATGAGCTCTCACTGGGAACTGCCACAGCTTTCAATTCACTGCGAATGAATATAAAGTGGGGTTTGATGCAGTTTGTGGTGGGATTCATGGGAATTGTTTGCTGGGGAAATCACTTGGAATAAGCCAGGGAGCCCCGTTCCTCTGACGAGAACTATGCTACGCTTCCTGTGTCCCCAGAGGCTGGAGGAGTAATGACATAGATACAAAGTTGAGTTTCTTGGATGGAAAGTGCTTCAGAGATTATCCTATTATCATGTATCAAGGTGAGGCAAAGAATCTCTTACACACCAAAAATGGGTCCTTAAATAGAAATGGTTGTTTCTGAGCATTGTAAGAAGCTACACTAATTTTGCTACAAGAATACAAATACTTTAATGTTGATTTTTTTTAAGAGATCTGGAAAATTGGTGATGCTAGCTAGTACTGATGATATTAGACTAGAAAATCTGTTGCATTTCCTTAGTGGCGGATATTTCTGTTGAGTGAGAACTGGTACAAAATATATTTTAAAAATCTAAATCCCAGTGTGGTGGCACGGCCTTTAATCCCAGCACTCGGGAGGCAGAGGCAGGCAGATCTCTGTGAGTTCAAGGTCATCCCGGTCTACACAGTGAGTTCCAGGGGCTGCAGGGAGACCCTGTCTCAAAAAGACAAAAAAAAAAAAAAAAAAAAAAAAAAAAAAAAAAAAAAAAACAACTAAATCCCTTTAATCTAAACATGCTTCTTTTAGAAATTTATACTAGGAAAATAATCAGAGATATGCACCAAAATCTAGGCACATGATTGTCTCCATAGAGATACTGATGTGTCTAACAAACGTCTCAATTTGCAAGAGATTTGAAGAGTAAATTTTAGTGTATCCATTCTTTGGGCTATTGGACAAGGGGTGTACATCAGTGGTGGTGTAGTTGGCTAGTATGTGTAAGGTCCTGGGTGGTTCCCTAGAACCACCCTTACCAAATGCTGACATGATTGATGCCAAATGCAGTATATAGAGGTAAAAAAACACCAGACACCAGGAGCACAATTGGCTGCCAGGAGTAAGCAGTCCACATCACCATACAGTCCTTTGCAGTTTCCTTTTGAATGTTTATTTTGCACATATATTACCTAACCAAATAAAATTTTTAAGTGGGCCAGGTGTGGTAGAGTATGTCTTTAATCCTAGCACTCACAAGACAGAGGCAGATGGATCTCTGTGAGTTCGAAGCCAGCCTGGTCTTCATGGAAAACTGCAGGACAGCCAGGTCTACCTAGTGAGACTCTGTATTACAAAAAACAATGTATTGTATTTCAGTAAATCAAGTGCACCTTTTTGTTCTAGTATTGTAAAAATCCAGGGAGAATTCTTTATAGACATTATTTTAAACGTGTTAATGGAATTTTAATATATTTTAATTGGCATTCCTAAATTATTGATATCATCTAAAATTGTATTTAAGAAAAATTATTCTCATTAAAATCATGTATTGAGATTAATAAATAAGGAAACATGGAAATTAAAATATTTGACTTAAAAAGGTTTATTTTTATTTTATTTTGTGCATGAGTGTTTTACATGCATGTATGTGTATCATGTGTATGCCTAGTGCCCACAGAGACCAAAAAGGGTATCAGATCCCCTGGAACATAAGTTACAGATGGTTGCTAGTCACCATGTGGGTGCCAGGAACCAGGTCCTCCGCAAAAGCAGCCAGTACTCTTAACTGCTGAGTCACCTCTCCAGTCCCACAAGACCTCATTTCAATGACAGCCCTCATCTCCACTCTACTATGCATTGCCCCTCCCGGAATAAGGAAATACAGGCAAAGTACTTGCACAAAGTTCTCTGTTGAGGTAGCAACACAGGCAAATCTCTTTCCATTTTTTATCACTTCCCCTATCCTTCACCCCTTCTCTTGATTTGTGTTCTGTTTGTAACTCATTCCAAAACTAATCACTGATTACCTCTAACAAGTAAGAAAGCGTCAGTGTCAAGAAAATGACTTCAAGAAAGCTCTTGAAGTCAGTTTGGCAACAGCACATCACAGCTGGGAGGAAGGAAATGGCAAGTGTCTGAAGTAAAAGTTGCCACATGACTGTGCCCCACTCTGACAGTTATGCACACGTCACCCTCGCTGGTTCCCATATAAAACCTGGTTCTAGAGCTTGACAACTCTTACAGCCTCTGGTAGTTCGTTCATGTGATTGTGAATGAATAAAATTGTGGGACTTGTAGAATTCTCTTTTTTAGAATTCTTAAATTTTAAGAGTGGGGTTGACATTGTCCATCTGCCTTTTCCTCATTCCTTTTGGTTTAGGGGATGACATACGGACAGTAAAGGTTATGCCCCATTGATCTTTTTCGGGAATGAATCACAGTGCAAACTTCTACTCATCAGGAAGCCGTGTAAAATTGTTCAACTCTGGGCAACCAAGTGATTGTGTAGGAAGAGTTTGGTTCTTTTCACACCAGAAGCTGCATGTGGACATGGTTTAAGGAAAGGTTATCCACAGTCTTCAACTCACCATTCGAACTGAATACAGAATATGACCATAGCAATGGGCTATGATGCCCATGGGCACCACCAGGCAGCCGAGAAACAAGAAGAGCACAAACGAGGAGTCGTTGGCGTCCTTGGATTTCCAGTCCACGGTGCAGCCCAGTCCATGCACGTCCAGGATGTATCTGTTCCATCCCAGGAGAGGTGCTCCTGCCCATGCCAAAGAGTAGAGCCAGATGTAGGTAATGGCCCTCCAAGCCCAGGAAAAACTGATCACTCTGGCATGGACCACACGGATATAACGTTCATAGGCCAGAACAGTGAGGGTGGTGATGGAAACAAAGCCTGCAAGAAGAGAATGTAGAGTATGGGGCAGGGGGAAATCACAGAAAAATCACACATTCACATTCCATCAGAAATACCATATAGAGAACCTGAGGCCCATGGAGTGCTCTAGAAACACCAAGAGCTCCTGGAGGATAGCACCCCAGGAAACCCAACTAGAAATGTGCCTACCTATAAAAGGAAATGTTGAATTAAAAAATGACCTGTACAGTATAGGACAAAGATCAGAGCACTAAGATCAGTTCTGCTCCCAAGATGCTGCTGGGACAGAAATTTCACTCTGGAGTGAGTCGCTTACATGTCTCCTGTAGCTTTGCCTTTGTTCAACTGATGGGTGACAAAGGCACAGTTGGGTTCCTCAAACTCAGACTGGCCAGTCAGTACATTGTGGCCAAGGGCTGACTTAGCCTATCTAGGAGATGCCAGCATAGCAACTGTTCACAATTCCTTGGATTCCATACAAGGTGGGGGACGTCTCCTGTGCCCTGGTCTTCATTTATACCTCAATTTTACAGCAAATCCATTTTAACAGAGTTATTTGTGTATTTCTCCCAAGAGTGATTTTTTTTTTTTTTTTGTCTTTTTGAGACAGGGTCTTCCTGTAGCTCCAGCTGGAACTCGCTATGTAGGCCAGACTGGCCTTGAACTCACAGAGATCTGCCTGCCTCTACCAAGAGTGGTTTTTATTCACTTGACAAGCCCGGGGCACTGTGGTGACACTGAGGACCCAGTGGTGACTGAGAGGCAGAACTCTAAGGTGTCTGAAGGGCATGTAGGTGTACAAACAAGTGTACTGTGTTAAGGTGACACATGCCACCATTGTGACACAGTGTGTTAGAGTCACAGGAAAGGACATTTGTTCACAAGGCAGGAGCAGCACACCTTCAGGGAGAATGAAGAGTCGTGGAACAGATCACTCTCACAAAAAAGGACAGGAAAGTGTCAATGAACAAAGAGGATTCAGAGACGCCTGGCTTGGAGTAGACGGAAAGAGAAATTAAGAGAGCGCAAATGAAGCCTCACTGGGAGAGGCTCTGATTTCTTGAGAAGGTTGGGTTTGTTTTTGCTGTATTTAAACCCTTTTCTGTATGAAATATTAAATTGAAAATCTACTGCTTCTTTGTAGTTTTTCATCATGAAAGTGACACATTAGATTCTTTTTCTTCCTCCTTTTTCTTCAGAATGAACACTCATTCGGGCAGTAGCACAGAACTAGAAACATCATTAATGATATAGAAAGCAACCTGAAGGTTATTGCTGTGGTCAGGCAAGACACAATGGGGCCCAACTTGGATAATATTAAAGGCGTCAAGCCAAGGCCACATCCTGGAGATTCTAGCACTTGACACCAGCAGAATACGCCTGTTTGTTGAATGAAAGGAGTGAAGGAGAGAGGAGTTGGAAACGACCTGGAGATTTCTAGCTTGCCCATGAGCACAGAATGATGACATTGACCAAAGTTTAGGCTATAAGGGATGTATGATGGATGTACATTAATCTTCATTGTCAAGTTGACTGGAATTAAAGTCACTTAGGAAACTGAGGTATCCCTCTGGATCTGTGCGAATATTTCCAGAAAGGACTAATGGAGGAGAGGAGACCAAGCTGAATGTGGGTGGGACTTGGGTAGAATGGGGGTGGGGGTAGACAGCATTCCCCTTCCTCTGCTTTAAGACGAGCCATGGCCTGAGCTGCCACGCTCCACAACATGAGCCAAAATAAATCCTTCGTTCCTTCCTTGAGGCTGTTTTGTCCACAGAAGTCACTAATACAGAGTATGACATGGAAAAGAAAATGAAACTGAACTCCCCGTAGCACACTGAAGTGTTTGCTATATTTGTGGCTAGACTGAGGTTAGAAAAAGGATCTAAGAGAGAAGAAAGGTAAGGCTGGTCTTCTAAGAAGCAGAACAAAGGTGTTGGGGTGCTGAGCACACTCGGGGAGGAGGGCAGTCCCAATTCCTTCTCTACCTGGTTCCATAACTTCCACTGAGTCAGAGAATCTTTTCAGGCTTTGGTGGTTGTTTTTATTAAATAAGATAAAATAAAATAAAATACCTTGTAAAGTCTTGTGATTCTGTTATTAGAAAAGTGTGGAATGAAGAGAAGTCTGACTCAGAAATTGGCAAACAGTTCATGTTCATTAGAATTTTTTTTTTTTTTTGGTGTTTGCAGGGGTGGAGGAAGCAGTATTTCCAGTTTCTGATACACATGACATACACCAAGCATTTGCTGAATAAATAACTGAATAAGCTTTAATGATTAAAAGATGGAGTATTGGAAGACAGTTTTAGGAAATTCTTGAGTCAGCTGTGAATTGGCATAGATTGTCAAATGGTACTCCCAATTCAAATTCTAAAACTAATTAGATGTATTGTTTCAGAAATCTCTTTTTACTCTATTAACATTTTATATAAAGAATAGTGTGTCCTTTAATTATACTCCTAGAAGGACATCTAGAAACCTAAAGCAAATGACATTAAAAAGTTGACAGTAAAGAAATGCTGCTAATGGAGTTAGACAGGCGGCTCAGCAGTTAAGAGCACTGGCTGCTCTTGCAGAAGACCTGGGCTCAGTTCCCAGCACCCACACAGCTGCTAACAACTATCTGTAACTCCAGTTCCAGGGGATTCTACGCCCTCTTCTGGCCTCTGTGGGCATTGCTCGCATGTGGTACACTTAGATGCAGGCAAAACACTCTTACACATAAAATAAAAATAAATAAATAAAATGGTTTTAAAAATACTGCTAATTTCATTTAGCTTACAAACTTTCTTATTAAATATAATGACATCTGATTTATAATTAACATCAAATGCTAAAAGAGTTTGGCCTTCAGCCTGTAGTTAATTACACTGAATACAATTTAGCTCTTCACAGACAAGAAAACTTTGTGCAAAGAATTTCACTGTTGTAATTTAATATGTCTCAGTACACTTTAGAGATGAATAAATGAGTTTTTATGGAAAGGCTGGTGTGTGCATACGATGATGTTCATGTGTTAATTTATTCATTCAGTCATTAACTATAATTGCCTATCTACGTGTGTCCATCATTGTGTCAGAAGTCAGTGTACAGAGATCCTTGTAGCTTCCAGTGCCTCGTAGAAATTAAAATCCAGTGGTCAGCCAGAAAAAAATTTAAACAAGTAAATTAGTGAACTGCAATGAATGCGAAGACAAAGAGTAGCATAAGGCCTGGGGAGAGAGAAGACACACAGAGGGGTATAGGAACATTGTCAAGGTGACAGAGCTGAGCATGATGATAAACCGGGTTACTGGAAGATAGCAAATTTATCTGATTAGTTAGGTCAAAAAGATTTTCTAATCTGTTATTATAGCTTTGTTGGTTGTTGGTTTTTATTGTGCCTGTGTATTAGCTAGCACTTTTTGAGACAGGGTCTTCCTGTAGCTCCATCTGTCCTGGAACTCACTATGTAGACCAGGCTGGCCTTGAATTCACAGAGATCTGCCTGCCTCGGCCTCCAGAGTGCTGGGATTAAAGGCGCGCGCCACCACGCCTGGCTTTGCACTTTAACTTTTGAGTGCTTCATTTAAGTGACCAACATTTCGTACCATAGCAGGGGAACAAGGCTTGCTTTTCTCAAGCCCTCCTGGACCCAGTTAAAAGAATCTAAACTATAGCTTTACTCTTCTTGACAAAATAGAGTTCCCTGACTTCTTCGGCACTTTATTTACCAATGAGTTTTGATTCTGAGGCAAATTGGAGAGATAGTTCAGTTGGAAAAGTGCTTGTCCGGCACCACCTCCTGGCCAGCACCACCTCCTGGCCAGCATCACCTCCTGGCCAGCATCACCTCCTGTCTGGCACCACCTCCTGGCCAGCACCACCTCCTGGCTAGCACCACATCCTGTATGGTACAACCTATGAGGAACAGACTGGTATATAACATTCTTAAAAGTATAAAAGTTCTACCTATAGACTTTTCAAGGTAGATTGAAAATATGAGCACATGTGCATATTGAAACCACATTAGAAAAATCAGGCCCAAGAACACACCAGACCAATGAACACTGCAACACCCTCACCTGGACCCTGAATGTGGGCAGACAATGAGATGGCCCCATTGACCTCTCATCTGACCACCTGGTGTGTGTGCCACCAAGAATTGGACAAGACAAAGAACTGACTCTGGTGCTTCAGTTCAGCTGAGTCCCCACTGCTTGACACTGATCCACTCGAATTGCAGTCAGTCTGCCCATCTGTCCACCCAGACTGGGTCCTGTGCCTCTGCAGCTCAACTCTGCAGCTTGGCTTGAATCTGCAACCCTGAAGCTGAGCTGTGTGCCTCAGAGAGCTCTCTACTGGGTTTCTTAATGTCCAAACACCTGCAGTGACTCTCTTTACAACTCACTCAACTCACTGCCTCTGCCTCCATTAAGGCCTTTTAATACCTTTTGAAGCTATTCTATAACCTAAATAGTAAGCAGATTACTGTGATATGTGTAACATATGATCTGAAAGTTAATATTAGTAATTAATTTTGGAAAAAAGAACCCGTGTTTGCCAACTGCTAGCTATCAAGGGAAATTGGGACTAACTGGCAAAGGGAACCAACAGAGTTTGTGAATTTATTGTTAATCCATATATTCTGACACTGGAAAAACATGAATGTGTCTATGTTTTTGATTTATTGCACTCAACAGTGATACAAATGTTAACATTTAAAAATCAAGTTATTGCTTCCCATTTACAAAATATACACAATGAATTATAAATATTTTAGTGATTTTTGAAGCAAGCGAGCAAGGAACTTGGCAATGTGGCACTCGGTTGGGGCAATGCACACACTCCAACAATGCACTTGGTGATCTAAAACACTCACCTGGATGCACTATGCACACCCCCACCCCACTCTGGACAATGCATCAGTGACTCTCCTTTCATAAAGTTTCTATTCAAATATGTTCCTGGGTGTGTCCAGGTATAGGAGCGAGGGGACCCATCTCACATGGGCTGGATTTGGGTACATGCAAAATA